GAGTTTAAAAAGACATAAAAATAATAACTATTTTTTTCTAAAAAAGGTTTCTGATACAAACTAATTGTTTTTTGTCTTGTTTTTTTTGTCCTTTTCTAAATAAAAGCATCAATTTAAGTATTCCATAGATTCCTCAAATTATTAAGATAATAATAACTATGATTGATAAAATTTTGTCTTGGTTTCCTTGATTTTGTAAATTTTGAATTTCTCTTTTTAACTTCTCTATCTCACCATTATTAAGTTGAAGTTGTCCCGTTAAGATTTTGTTTTGACGTTCTATTTCTGCCAATTTATCCTTTGCCTTTTTATCTTCGCTTTCCGCTTCGTTTTCGCTTATCATTAAAATACGCTTGATTTCCTCCACTTTTGCTCCCTCTCTTTTGCTTGCGCAATAAAAATCTTCTAAACTGGCTAAAGGTAAATGTTCTAATCCATTATCAATGTCAGTACCACTAATATCTAATACTTCTAGGTCTTTTAAATTTCCTAAATATTCTAGAGAACCATAGAAATGATTATAAATATTTTGCTTTAATTTCTTTTCGTCGTCTGCACCAATAAGCAAATGTTTTAAATTAACAAAACGAGCAAAACAACTTAAATCTTGCGGAGAAAGATTATTATTGTTAATAGTAATTCCCCATACTTTTTCAGGATTCTGGTGAGAAAAATCAATATCAGTAAGCAAATTATCTGAGCAATCAATTCATTCTAATTCTTTATTATTGCTTAGGTTAATGCTTGTTAATCGATTTCCTGAGCAATATAACTCTTTAAGGTTTATAAAACCACTTAAATCTAAATGACCTTCTAGGCTATTATTACTTATTTCTAGACCATTAATATTTTCCCTTTCTTCTTTGGGGAAAAAATAATCCATCCACTCTTGAGCATTTCTGCTAGAAAATCTAGAGTAGTGTTGAGGAGTAAAATTACTATTTTTTAAATAAAAAGCTAATTGGCAATTGGATGGTTCCAAGCCGGCCTCAACTCATTCTTTAACTTCTTCAAGATTGAAATCAAGTTGTTCTCACTCTTTTTGTAATTCGTCGGTGAAATCTGGGTGAATATTCTTTCAGTCAGTCATGGCCTTTTTATAATAATTATTTTTTAATTAAATTTTATTTCCTGTGTTATTTTTGTATCTCAACTTAAGCCGTATTTTCACCCTAATTTTTTCGTCATGAATAAAAGGCTTTTCTTTGGTATTTTTCACTTATTTTGTACCCACTACAAGCAATTCTTTGGTGAAGATGAAAATTTTTCTTCATTAATTTTATTATGGAATATTTTCGTGACATTTGCTAAACAGCGCATTTTAATTTTAGTTCTATAAACTCCGCTATCCCTACCTACATAAGTAAAATATTATATATGACTGGAAGAAGCGTAAATATTTATCTGCAAGAAGATACTTATAACCAATTACGAAAACTAACTGGTAGTCGGAAAATTAGCCGCTTTGTTGATGAAGCAATAATTGAGAAATTGACCAAGGAACAAGAAAGAAATAAAGAAGAGTTAAGACAAAAAATGATTGCGGGTTATAAGGCTAATGCTAAAAATAAGAAACTGCAGGCAGAATTAGGAGTTTGGGAGAAAATTTCTGCACAAGATGCTTTAACTCAAATTGAGAAAAATGAACGAAAAAAAGGAAAAAAATCTTAAAATAAGTAAGAGATTAAGTATTCCCCATCAAGGAGAAATTTGATTAGCCGAACTTCCTAAAATTAAAGAATTTTCTAAGCCTTTTCGCCCTGTTTTGATAATTAGTAATGACCTACAAAATGAATTTGATAATCTCATAACTATTGCTACTTTAACCACTGATGATGTTGAGAATGTTAAACCCTTTGAAGTTTATATCGAAAATACTCCGGAAACTGGTTTGGATTATCCGAGTAAAATTCTGGTTGGTTATTCTTTTACTATTTACAGAGAACTACGTTTAATTGAAAGGTTAGGAATGGTTAGTAAAGAGATAATAACTCAAGTTAAAACTGCTTTGAGAATAACTTTTGATTTAGGGGATTAACTAATCCCTCTCGACTATTTGTCAATTCTTTGATTACTTTCCAGTAATCGCCTCGCAAAAAAGTTTAAGGGCTTTTTGAAATTTCTCTAATCTAGTTGCCTCTTTTGGTGATACTTGGTTCGGAGTAGGACTTGCTGCTGTTTGCTGAACATTATTGCTTGGCGAAAATTTATTATTGTTAATATTGATAACGCTTATTTTTCTTAAAATATCTACCTCAATTTTTACTTTTTCAATTTCTTTCTTTAGATCTTTGTCTTCTCATTTCGTCTTTATTAAAAAGGTAGTGACAGACCGCAAAACCAGTAACAGTTCCAAAAATAAATCAAAACGCTTTGTTGCTTTACTCGGTTTTTTTCATATTTATGTTTATGTTATTATAATTTATTGTCATTAAATATTATAATTTTATAGCAAAAGTATCTTCAAGAATCCCAACAAAGTAAATGATTTAAATTTTTAAAACCTACATATTTCCTTCAACATATTTCAATTTTCATGTGATTTATTCATATCTCCTTTAGCGATATACAAAAATCTTCATTTTTCATTTTTTCTTGCCTCTTCTCCTAGTTCTAAGTTTAGAGCATTTACTCATTCTTTCGCTGCTTGATTTTTCTCCTCTATTTCCGGATTGGGATTATTGTCATCTTTAATTTCTACTAATCAGTGAATATCATTTTCATCTATCACTAAAAAGTCTGGAAAATAGTGTCTTTGGTTTTTCCCATAAAGAATATAAATTTCATCCCCTCATCGCAAAAGTCTAATTCACTTTTTAACTTCTTTGGTTTTGTCAATTAAGCAGGCAAATTGAAACTCAATGCCACTGTCAAAAGTGTCGTAATTATATAAACTTTTGGTGAATTGGTAACCTTTGGTTATTTTTTTAAATTAACGAAGCGGGCAAAACAAAATAAATCCTGCGAAGAAAAATTGTTATTTTTAATGTCAATTCCCCACACCTTTTCGGGGTCTTGACAGGAAAAGTCGATGTCAGTAAGCAAATTGTTAGAACAATTAATTCATTCTAATTTTCTATTATTGCTTAGATCGACGCTTGTTAGTTCATTTTCTGAACAATCTAACTCCTTCAAATTAATAAAATCACTTAAATCCAAATGGCCTTCAAGGTTTTTGTTCTTTATTTTCAAAACACAAATATTTTTCCTTTCCTCTTTGGAATAATTTTGGTCTAAATATTCTTGGGCGTTTACCATATATTGATTTTTTATTTCTATAATGATTATTATAATTAAGTTTTATTATTCTATGTCTTTGTTGTGCTCAACTTATCCGTATTTTTGCCCTAATTTCTGTCATCTTAAAATTATTGGTGGAATAGTTTATTGATTATTCCTTGGACATTTGCCATAAATTATTTTTGAAATTGATTATTAATATGGGTTAGTAAATCCTTCTTTGTTTATTAGTTTATAATATTTGATAATGGCAAGAAAAGTAGTCTAACCTTGCTCATTTTGACAAAAAATTAAATAAGAATGGAATTTCTCCAAGAATTAAACGAACAACAAAAACAGGCTGTTTATGAAGAACACTCACGAATATGTGTTATTGCTGGACCTGGTTGTGGCAAAACTAAAACACTAGTAAGTAGACTTATTTATTTATTAGCCAGCCAAAAAGCCCAGCCACAAAATATTTTGGTTTTAACTTTTGCCAAAAAGGCCATTAAGGAAATAAAAAAAAGAGTTTTTTCTCATATTACTACTGTCTCCCCGAAGGATTTACATATTTATAACTTTCATTCCTTTTGTTTTCATGTTCTTAACAAACATTCTCATTTATTAGGCTTCCCTGACAGTAAATTTCCAGTCTATGACCGCCACGAACAAGAGGTGATAATCCGCAAAATACTTTATCAGAATAATTATAACGCGGAAAAAAAAGAAATAAATACTATTTTGGCTTATATTAGCGGCTGAAAAAATGGCAAACTGATTGCTGACCCTTTACAGTTTGATGAATTAACAAAAACTAGGTATGAGATATACCAAAAATACGAGGAATATTTAAAAACTAATAAGGCATTAGACTTTAATGATTTATTGCTTTATACTATTACTCTTTTTAATTATTATCCGCAGGTTCGAAAAGAATACCAGGAGCAATTTATCCATATTCTCCTGGACGAATTTCAGGATATCAATAATATTCAATGAGAAGTCATTAAACTGATTTTGAGCGAGAAGCAAAATGTTTTTCTAGTGGGTGATCCCAATCAGGCTATTTATGGATTTCAGGGTGCCACCCCAGAATTAATTTCTTCTTTTACTAAAGATAAGGAGTGAAAAACTATCTATTTGAATGTCAATTATCGTTCAACTAGCCACATTTTACATCTGGCTAATTCGTTTGTGGCGAAAAATCATTCCATTTTAGTTAATAATTTACTCAATACCTCTAAGCCAGAAGGAGTAAAAGTGAGTTTTCTCCCTCGGATTTCAATTCGTTCTATTATTCGCCGAATTCATTGATTACTAGTGCGGGAGAAAGTAGCATTTAGCGACATCGCTATCCTGTATCGCAATAATTATCTTTCCACGCGCATCGAACAAGAATTAGTTGCTCAAAGAATACCTTATGAAATATTAGGCTCCTTTAAATTTATTGAACGGGAAGAAATCAAAGATGTTTTATCCTTTTTAAGAATGATTATGTATCAAGATAATATTTCTTTATTAAGAATACTAGGTCTTCAAGAGAAAATTGGTGCTCGCACCATTGAAAAGATTGAACAAAATAGTGAAAAAGGAGGGACTAGTATTTATAATTATCTGAATAATTTTGCTACTATCACCAACTTAAATGAAGAAAAAATTGCGGCGGGACAAGTAGATAAAATCAGTGCCGTCATCCTAAAAATCAACAAATGACGAGAAAAATTAGAAGAAAAAAATTCTCTCAGCGTTTTTCTTTTGAGTGTACTCAACGATTTTAATTACTGAGAGCACTTAAAAACTCGCATTAATGCTTCCGAAAGAGAAAAAAACGTTCAACAATTTCTCAATATCGCTCAAAATTGAGAAAATAAAAGAAAAAAAGAGTATCCTAATTTAAATGAATTACTCAATTCTTTCTTACAATGAATTATTATTGCTTTTGAGGATAAGAAATTAATTAAAACAAGGAATAATTTAATTCTTTCTTCGGTCCACCAAGCCAAGGGGTTAGAATTTGAAGTAGTATTTTTTGTTTATTTAGACCAAGGAACCCTCCCTTACAAGGAAACCCAAGACCTAACCGAGGAAAAAAGATTATTTTATGTTGGAATAACCCGAGCCAAGCGATTCCTTTATTTAATTAGCAGTCAAGAATTATATTCGCCTTTTTTGGATGAAATAGATAGCAATTATTTGACAAAAACCGGGAATTAATCTAGTAAGTGCGGTTTTAAAAAAAGTCTGTTTTACCAAATGACTTTAAATTAAGGAGCAGGTGGGATTAATCATGACCATAACAATAAATAGCAAATTAACTAAAGAGTGAAGTAAAATAGGGGATAATAATTTCCAGCCACTTTTTTTATAAATATAGATAAATCCCAAAGCAGCAACCGAATATTGAAAGAAAAGAAGAAAAACATTTTCTCCTTGATGATAATGGGCCAAAATAAAAGCAAAAAAAGAACAAAGGTAAGCAAGAGGATTTTCCTTGCCAAAAATCCGAAAAACGAAATAGCGGAAAATGCATTCTTCGACAATGGGGGCCAAGACGCACATGCCAAAAAAGATTCGGGTCAGGATCCACCAGTTATTTTTGCTATTAGTTATGACACTTATTTGCGTGTTTATTTTCTCGGATTTAATGCTCGGTCAAGAAGAAGGAGCCACCCACCCCAAAACTGATTTAAGAGCAAAATGGATAAGAGCAAAAAAGAAAAGTAGTTTAATTGTCTGTCAAAATATTTTCTTTTTTTCTTTCTTTAACGAATATCAAATTTTTTTTCCTTCTTGTTGGAATACTCAAAAGGTTATTAAAAAACAAAGAATAGCGTAGCGAATAAAGAACTTTCCGGCCAATTTTTCGCTAACATATTCTTTCCACTCCATTATTCCTTAATTATTTTTAAATAATCGGGATAAGAATTAGCCACGTTTTCTAATTGATAAAGCATTAATCTTAAGCACAATTGGCATTCAAGGCTGTCATTTTGGGGATAAATGCTTATCTCGGCTGGCAAATAGGAGATTTGACAATCTTTCGGATAATAAATTTGAAGAAAATTAACTGTGCCGTTAGTAATGGCCGAAATTGCTGCACAGACAATATCTTGGCCCTTTTCAGCAAAATTAGCATGATCCTTAATAATAATATATTCAAAATTATTTTTCTTGTTTTGTTTATAAAGGACCTTAGTTGGCATATGATAAAATTTTCCGGAATGGAGGGAAAATATTCCTCTCCATTATCTAAACATCTTCTTTATTTTCCGAACTTCTTAACTATTTTTTAACCTTCTTTTGCGAGTATAAATAATCGCTCCAACTAGAAAGGCAACCCCTGCCAGAGCAACCGGAATCACTACTTTTAAAGGAATGCCATCATTATTATCCTTAGATTCGCTGGAATTATTATTTTTTTTCAAAGCATTTTCTAATTTTTTTATTAACGCTTCAGCCTCGGATTTTTTTGACTGGTAATTCGAATTGCTAATGAGTTGGGATAATTCTTGCTTTAATCTTTCTATTTCTTTCTTATCTTTACTTTTTACGGCACTTTATTTTCTAACTCAGAATATTTTTTAGTTGCGGCTTTTTCATAAGTGTTTTTAGTTATTTCCTTTTCAGCCTGGTCGACTTCATTTTTTTCGGTAATTTCCTTGTTTTTTAACTTCTCTAATTTAGTTTTTGGCTCTGTATCCAAATCGTCAACATTAACGCCATTATTTTTCATTTTATCCTCAATAACTTCGAAAATCGTTTGTCGATATTTTTCTTTGTCTTTCGCCAATTCTTCTCGGGCTGCTTTTTCGGCTGTCTCATCCTCGGTTGACTTTTCAGCACCCTTGTCTTTTAATTTTTCTTTATCTTTTATGGCGTCGGATAATTTCTCATTATCGCCACTTTCTTTGGCTTGATTCAGTTTTTCATTGGCTTTATTAATTTCCTCCTGAGTTGGCTGATTGCTGGGAGGAGGAGTTTGGTTGTCATTATCATTCCCTTGGTTGGAATTAGAAGTATCTTCGGAATTGTTTCCTTCTGGCTTTGTTCCCGAGTTCTCTTTATCATTCAAATCCTCATTTTGCGAATTGTTGCCAGAGGATTGGCTATTTCCTGTGCTTCCCGTATCTTCTGTTGACGTCTCTTCTCCACTTCCACCACCTTGGGAATTTTGTTCGGTGATTTTAATAGTGTCCTTATTATTATAAACCACTCTTAATTTTTCATCTTCTTCTAGAATTAATTTGTTAGGGAGATTTTTTGGTTCTGGACCCATGGCAAAGCCACCTGCCTGAGCACTGTGAGTCATAGTTGGTTGTCGGTCATCCTTCACTTCTGAGTCATCAAAAGTTATTTGGTAAGTTTTATTAGCCTCAAAAATGCCCTCAGCACTTTCCTTTCCAAAGAAAAATATTTTTGTAATTTTAGCCTTTTCATCACCCTCGCCAGTTGGAAAATCTATTTTGTTAATTTCGATTTCGGTAGGATTTATTATTTTTGTTATTGTAAATGTAATTTTAGTTTCTGTCATATATATATATATATATATAGTTTATTTATTTTATGTAATTAATTTTTTTGTTTCATCATTGCTTCGAATCTTTATCATTATATTATGTATTTTACTTTTTTACTTCTGTTTGAGAATTAGTTCGATAATTTGAACAGTGCGGACAAAGGTGATGAAGTATCTTGGTTTTTTGACAACTAGCACATTTTACTAAGGGTTGATTAAGAGCCTTTTGGTGAAAACTTCAACTCTTTGGTCCGCGACCTTTTTTAACTCGGGTGGAAGATTTTCTTCTTTTTGGGACTGCCATAATATTTAATTTTACTCGATTTGAATCTGGTGGGCTTTGTTATTTTATGTATTATTTAATTTAATTTATGTAATATAAATGGCGGAGTGAGAGAGATTCGAACTCTCGCGCTGGTTATTAGACCAACCTAGTTTCTTAGCAGGAAACCCTCTTAACCACTTGAGTATCACTCCAATAATAATATTTTTTGTTCTTTTATTTGTTTTTTTCCTGTCTATACTCAATAGTTTTAACCGGAGTAATCATTATCTATTTTCCTGCTGGGAATCGGCTTTCTTTTCCTCTTGGGGTTTGTTGATACGTATGACTTATACTTGATGTTAAATTGGTACGGGATAAGGGACTCGAACCCTTAACATCTAGGTCCTAAGCCTAGCGCGTCTACCATTGCGCCAACCCCGCTTTATTTGGTGTCCTGTGGAGGGATCGAACCTCCGACTCTTTGCTTAAAAGGCAAATACTCTACCGCTGAGTTAACAGGACAATTATTTTTCAGTGATCAAAAGACAAATTAAATAAGTTAAAAAAATAAAGTTAAGAAAAAAAAGAATGACAAAACTATGTACACAAAATAGGTGCTTAGGAAATAATTCTCAATTTTTATTTATAACGTGGAGACATATTCATAGCGAACTCACCGTATTTATTATCGTAAATAGCAAAAAACTCTTTTTTAAATTCATATAGGATTAATTTTAGAGTTCTGGCTGGGGTGGCTGGGATTGAACCAACGATCAAGGAGTCAAAGTCCTTTGCCTTACCACTTGGCTACACCCCAAAAATTATCATTTCTTTTCCTCGGCTCTTCTTTAATTAATTATGTTTTATGTTATACTAAATTTTAACTTTTTACCTCAGTATTTCTCTAAATAGCCATTTTTCTGACCTATTTTTTATTCTCTCTCTCTCTCTCTCTCTGCTTCCCTTGCCCTTATTCACAAAGTATCTAACAATTAATCAGATTAAGCCTAGAAAGCCAACGTAAAAAACTAAAGTAAATATAATCATTTCTTTTCAAGTCATAATTCTTTCTGGGCCATTCCCGAGTTTTATTGTAAATTTTGTTGGATCGTTGCTATATCCTATTAGTGAGAGTATTATTAAACAAAAAATTATGCCTCAATACCATTTTTCTCAAGTTCTTATTTTCATATTAGTTAATATATATTTAGTTTTATTATATTGAATCGTTAGTAATTAATTTCTTCTACTTTGTTTAGTCTGGCAAAGTTGCTTTTTAATTCTTGAAAATTAGTTAAAAAGTCGATGCCTTCGCAGTCCCTTTGGAGGGAAAAATCTGGAAATTTTTCCAATATTTTTGTTAATTCTTCTTTGGAAATAATTTGGGTTTCTAATAAACGTTTTTTCTTTTGAAAAACCGCTGCGTGATATTTACTGCCTCGGCTATCAATAGTTAACAAACTAATACAATTAGCGGTTCCTGCTTGTAATAATAAAGTGTCTATATGATATAATTTAACTTTTGGATTAAGAACTTGTAAAGTGGAAATAAAGGCTAAACCGACCCTTAATCCAGTTTGCCCACTCGGGGTGGAGGTAAAATAAACCTCACTTATTTCTTTGAGTGAACGATTATTTTTCTCTAAAATCTGTCGCAAATGGGATAAAAAATTTTCCGAATGAAGACGTTTATTTTCTTTTTGGATACTGATTAGGCACTCACTATTTTCCCACAGAGCCAGAAGAAGAAAAGAGGAGGATAGACTGAAAAATAAGCAAAGCATTAATTATAATTTTGGTGCCAAATTATGAGAGACTAGGGATTCCTGCTCGGATCAAAAGTGAGGCAGGACTCAGTTATATTTCATTCCTTCCTTATCGCTTCTTGTGAACTTTTTTTGTTGTTATAAGAGCAGGACATCCACTCGTGATTAATAATTACTAATTATCTAGACCAAAATGCTTAGCCAAAAATTGGGCTACTCCGTCGCTATTAAGGACTCCAAAATCGGTTATTCCATAGGCGTAGGCTTTTAAATAATTATCACTGTCGGCAGTGGCAATACCTTTACCAACCATATGCATCAATTCTATATCATTAACGTCATTACCAAAAGCAATAGTGTGAGATAAGGGAATATTATAATAACTGGCTACTCATTCGGCTCCCATACCTTTGCTAGCGAACTTGTTGCGAATTTTTATGATAGTTTTTTCTGGATCGGGAACAAGGACTTTATCTCCAGGAGTCTTGGCCTTTAATTTGCTGCCAAAATAAAAAGTAATGGAGGCACTATATTTGCTACGCAACAACATTAAAATATTGTTAAGCATTTCCTCCTTGTTGGAAAATTCTAAAACTAATTGTAAAGCGTCTTGTTCCCCTAGAAGTTGTAAAATATTTTCTCCTTTAGTATAGGGATTGCCATTAAAAAAAATCTCTTCATAATAAATATCATCACTGGTGCTAATAGTTTTGCGGTCTATTTTATCAATCAAGGCATTATGAAGATTTTGTTTGATTATTGGCTCATTTAAAATGTCTTTAACAGTTTGGTTAGCAATTGGATTAAGCACTAATTCTTCGGCGTTATTTTTAGAAGGGTTATTAATGTAAGCTCCGTTGTAGGTGACTAAAAAAGTATCTAAGCCGACTTCTTGATAAAAAGGCAAGGCTGATAAATAATTCCGTCCGGTTGTGAAGCAGATTTTATGGCCTCGTTCCTTTAATTTTTGTAAAACTTTTTTTAGTTTTTGATTTAAAGTGGAGAAATCTGGGTTAGTGCTGGTTCCGTCGATATCTAACTTAATTAAATGTATTTCTTTTTTCGTTATTTCTGTACTCATATATTATTATAATTTTATTTTTGCTTTCTTTTCCCGACTAAGTAAATTAATAAAATTATCATTCCAATTATCAAGGATATTACTCCACAAATGATTAAAATTTGTTTGCCTGATGGCTGATTTTTTGCTGTTTGTGGCTCCTGATTTAAGACTTTTTCAATTTCAATTCATTGCTCGGGGGGAAAATAATCCTTTCTATACATTTTGGGTGGTCTAATTATTAAGAAACCATTTTTACTGTATTTTATTTGGGCTGATTGGTGAAGGAGTATTATTTGCTTATTCTCTCTCTCTCTCTGGCGTATCGTAGTAGTATTCACCATCTTTATTTCAATTCATTTCTTTAATTTCTCATTCATTTTTATAACGTTTAATATTTTCTACGAGGGCATTTTTAGCCTCTCCCCAGTCGTCCCCCAGTAAATATTTTTGATTAAAATAATTGTGAAAAGAAAGATCATTTTCCCAAAATTCGACAGAACTACAAGTGTTTAATCCTTGAATTATTTCCTCCTTTAATTCTTGGGAAAATATTTTTTTTCATTCCTCATTACAACTCCCGCACAACTCAAAATCGTCGGTGTTTATTTCCTTTCCGCTTTTTTTGGCAATAAATTTTTGGAGCGATTTTTTATCTCGCGAAAACATTCCATGATAAGACATTCAAGAATTTCCTCCTTTCGAGCCGCAAGCGTCACAAAGTGTAGTCATAATGCTTAATTTATTACTTTTTGACAAATATTAACTGGCACATCACTAATTTCCCAGCCGGAGGATTCAATAACAATTTTGACTTTCTGCTTTTTTTTGTCTAAATAGGTAATCCGTCCTTCCCGATTAATAAAGGTTCCTTCAGTAATTTTCACCAAGTCACCAATATTTAAGTCAACTTTCTCATAATTACTGGCTTTGTTTTCCTTTTTTTCTTTCATCCTAGTTAAGAAATTTTTAACCATTTCTTCAGAAACCGGGTCAGGCAATTTGTCCTCGCTCCGTTGGTGGTTCAAAAAACCAATTATTTCCGGTATTTTGTAAATAAAGTGAGTCAATTCTGGAGTTAAATGACAATAAGCAAGAATATAGCCTTTTAAAACATTTTTTTTATTGCTATCACTCACCATTTTTAATTCGCGAATGTAATCACTCCACCCTTTTCTTTCTAATTCTGATTTAATTTTTTCAATAATTTTTTCTTCTCGTCCGCCACGCACTGACAGGATATATCACTGATAGTCTTTTCTTTTCATTATTTAATTATTTTAAGAGATTGCTTCTCCGTGGCCAACCGGGATTTCTAAAATTTGAAAAAGTCCCAAAATAGCGAAGGCATAGAGAAGAATAATGATTGTTATAATCAAGGAGGAAAGTAAACTTTGATCAAAACTTAGATATTTGAACAATTTGTTGTATTTCTTAACGGGATTTGAGCGAACTTTTCTTTTCATAGGATTTATACATTATTATTTTAGCCAAAAAGCGTTAAAAAGAGAGTTTCTAGCGGTTCAAAAGGGAAGAAAAAACCCGACCTGATTCGGCTTCTTTGTAAAGATTTTCTTTTTTCTTGAAGGCTTCGCCGGATTTATTATAAGCATTGTTGATTTCTCCAGCCAATTTTTCATACATTGGTTCAGTGCTTTTTTTCTCTTTGGCTCCTTCCACTAATCATCGCAAGGCTATTTTCATTGACCGAACCTCGTCAATTTCTTTGGGAACTCGTTGTTTCGAAGCACCAACTCTGCGACTTTTCATTTCAATGGCTGGTCTAACATTAGCCAATGCTCCTTCTAAAACAGTTAAAAAAGGCAAAGAAGTTTTTTTTTCAATTACTTGGGCAGTTTGGTAAACTATATTCATCGCTTTTCTTTTTTCCCCATTTTTCATCACTTTGTTAGTTAAGCGGCTAACAATAACTGAAGCAAATTTTGGATCGGGCTTGATTACATGACTTTTAATTACTTTTTTTTTGCGCATTATTTATATTAATATTATTTTAACAAAAGGAACAAAAGTTTTGCTAATTAGTAGGGTGGTTGTTGTTTTTTTATTAATTAGTAGAATCTTTATAATAATCAAAAATAGTTCTTATTATTTTTCCTCTTTAACCTCCCACAAATAAGACAACTAGAACTAATATGGCGGGCCAATATTTAATCCTTACTAAGTTAATAAAAAAACTAAAAATTAATTATAATTTAAGTATGCTAAAAAGAAAAAGTCATTCTGCAGAAGATTTAAAAAGGGAAATCAAGAAATTAAAAAGAAAAAATCAAGATGCAAAGGAGTTAGAAATCCAGTTAAAACAAATAATCAATTGTAAGAATAGTGAATTGGCTAGATATGAACGCTGATTAGCAGAAGAAATGGACGCAAATTGGCGATTAAAAAGCAAATTGTTAAAACAAGAACCACAAGTTAATGCTTTATTAGAGCAAACATCTTCTCTCACAAATGAACTTGCTGACTGCCAGAATAAATGAGATAGAACTGAAAAAAAATTAGCCAAAAAAAGAGAAAAATTGGAAATAGAAAGAAAGGCCCACTTGGATGCGGTGGATGCTGCTGCTCGCTGGTATAAGACGTTTTGGAAAAATGAAAAAAATGAAAGATTATTGGTGAAAAAAGAAAGAGATAAGTTAAAAGTTGAAGTGGCTAACTTAAAGGCTGAATTAGCAGAGTCTCAAAAAGAAAAGTTAGAAGCCAAAGTCCAAGTATCCCTAAAATAAGAAAAATTTCAAATGATTTTTCAAAGAACGATTGCTTCTCTAGTTACTGCTCCGATTACTCAAAATATTGCTCTGATTAGGATTTCTGGTCCGCAAACTTATCCAATTATTAGCCGAATTTTTGATCGGCTTTTGCCAGAGTATCCCCAAGAAAGACCGCAATTGATTTTTGGTCAAATTGTTAATTCTCAAAAAGAAATTATTGACCAAGTCTTACTCCTTTGTTTTTACAAACCTAACTCTTTTACTGGCGAGGATGTTGTAGAAGTTAGTTGCCATGGAAATCTTTTTTTAGTTAACCAAATATTACAATTAATTTTAGAGAATGGAGCAGAGTTGGCCCAAGAGGGCGAGTTTACTAAACAAGCCTTTTTTAATGGAAAACTCAATTTAGTTCAAGCCCAAGCCATTAATGATTTAATTCGGGCTCCCAGTTTACCAGCGGCCAAATTGGCCCTCCACAATTTAAGTCAGACAACCCAAAAAGAATTAGAAGTAATTGAAAACGAGTTATTAGAAATTATTGCCAATATTAAAGTCAACATTGATTATCCCGAGTACGACGGAGTGGAATACCTAACTGGAAAAGCAGCACTTTCGCGTTTGAATAAACTATTAAAAAAATTAGAGATTATTAAAAAAAGTGGTCAAAAATCTCGTGTCTACCAAGAGGGATTAAGAGTTGCCATTGTCGGGAAACCAAATGTTGGTAAATCTACCCTTTTAAATGCTCTGTTGCAAGAGGAAAAAGCCATTGTTTCGCCGATTGCTGGCACTACCCGTGATATAGTGGAAGCCCGCTATAATTTAAAAGGTATTCCTCTAACTTTATTAGATACCGCAGGCATTCACGAAACTCAGGATATAGTGGAAAAAATTGGGGTAGAACGAAGTTTACAAGCCTTAGAAAAAGCCGAAATCATTTTTTTTTTGGTGGATAATTCCTGCCCGTGAAGCCAAGAAGAAGAAAATATTTTTGAAAGAATTAAAAATAAAAATCATTTAGTTATTATTAATAAAATAGACAAAGAAAATAATTTGCAACTCCCTAATTATATTTCCCAAGAAAAGACATTAAAAATTAGTGCCAAAAAGAAGCAATTAAAAGAGTTAGAAACTAAAATTAACGAATTATTCGCTGGTGATTTGATAAATAAACTTTCTCCTTTTCCTTATTTAAGTCAAAGTTGACAACAGGCTAAATTAGTCAGACTTATTCAACAATTAAAAGTTGTAATTAGTGAATTAGAAAAAGAAACTTATTTGGATGCCTTATGTAGGGACTTAGAAATCAGTTATAAATTAGTCAAAGAATTAAGTGGTAAAGATTATAACGAAGAATTATTAGATGTCATTTTTAGTAAGTTTTGTTTAGGGAAATAAAAAAGAGACTTAATAAATCTTTGATATAAAATCCAATAATAAAAAATGATATTCACGCTAGAGAATCAACTTAATTTTTTCTTTTTGTTCTTTCTAAGTTTTTTATTTTATGGATTTTTTGTTAAATGAAAGTTTCGCCACGAGGACAGGGTTGCTCTTATTATTCTGATAATGGGTAGCATCTATTTTTTTATTTTACTGTTTTTTCTTTTGTGAGGACTTTGGCGCTTTGGGGCATAGAATAAAAGTTATTATTTTTTCAGTTATAATTCTCATATTTGCGGTGAGAAATAGAGAAAACTAGAGAAGAAATTTGATTATTTTGGCGGAAGTGAGAGGATTTGAACCTCCGCGGATGCTATTAACATCCCTACCAGCTTTCCAAGCCGGCCCCTTCAGCCACTTGGGTACACTTCCCTATTATCCCTTTTATTTATGGTAGCAGCGAGAGGATTCGAACCTCTGGCCTAACGAATATGAGTCGTTTGCTCTAACCAACTGAGCTACGCTGCCTTTTTGAAAATAAGATAATAAATTTTATTAGAGTAATCATATGAAAGACACAAAGTTTTATTTTCGGGCATTTCGTTTAAAATTTTTTAATGACCCAGTTTCTCACTGAGAGGAGGGTAAAGAATACTTAGTTTGTAATCTAGCAAGTCAAGGTCTACAAAGTCTAACTTTTGCCAGTAAAAACTGAACTCGTTTGCTGGTTCTAAAAGATAATTCGACTTTTTCTAAGCAAATTAAAGAGATAATTGATAAAAAGGAAGCAGAAGGAGATTTTTTCACGACTCCTTTTACTAATCTCGAATTCAAACCCCATTTTAGCCAAAAAGTAGATAAGGAACGTAAAGGAGATGCCTTATTAATCAAGGACCCTAACCAAGTGGAAAAATTAACTGAAACTAGGAATATCAAATCGTCCTCACCTTATCAAATTGCTTTTGAGGTTGTTAACCAAGTAAAAGAAGGGCTTGGTCGAAAAGCAGATGGAGAAAGGGAAAGTTATACTCATGTTCTTGAAATTAAGCCCCTAGATTTAGGAATAAAAGGATTGTCGCCGATTACTCGGTTAGTTTTTTATTTTTATGACGAAATTAACCCGCTGGCCGCTGGCAATTATGAATTAACTAAATGCGAGTTATACAAAAGTCCAATCTTAGCAAACTCGGTCGGAAAAACTTTTACCATGAAAGTTAAGGAGTTTAAAATTGATAGCGACAGTAATACTTTATCTTTTAGTAGCAATTATGATTATGTTTTTGGTTCTTTATCCGAAAAGAAAAGCCAAGATAGCCCAGAAAATCCTGCTAAAACGCCGCCAAAAAATGGTGATATAACTCTACCTAAATAAAATGTCCAATTTTTAGAAAATAAATATGCCAAAGAATAAAGAACTAAAAAGGGAAGAT